ACCAGTGGATCTTGCCCGAAACAGGCGGGGGAGCAACCAATCCGGCCCGGGCGGCCAGGACCTGGACATGCGTGGCTGCTCTCAAATCCCGGCGGTGGCGTGGCAGCAGCTCGAGGGCGCTCATTGGCCGAAGCTGACGAAGGTGGACTTCGACGAGCGCCTCGGCTTGGGCGCCTGTTGGAGTGCTCGTGGATCCTCTCCAGATGGTTGTTGGGCTGCGAGGGGGATGTGGGAGTGGAAGAGGCGGCAGGCACCCAGCCGTTTCACAGGAGCGGTCTAGCAAATTGTCGTGGTGTGCTTAGCTCAGAGCCGTGAAGGCACTCGACGCTTCGTGCCGTGATTGTGGGGGCGCGGTGGGTTTGAGGCGGCCGGCAGCAAGCCATTTCAGTGGGAAGCTTCGATGTTCTCAGGGACAGGTAGAGCCTTGATAATTGAGTTTGTGGACTGCAGACTTCGTGGGTTTATGTAAGGCGGTTAAAGTGAATGGACTGTATTTCAAAGCATTTTGGCAAATGCGAACTCTCCACAGAAGAGTAGCAGAAGCACAGCACGGGTTCCAGCCCGAGGTGCTTCGGCAAATACTCCAATGGCATCGAGGCTGCGGCTGGGCTTCTCGCCTTCCTCGGCCGCTGCCCCGAGCTGCAGGACGCGACTGCCAGCCCCTGCACAAGATATAGTCTTGCTGGTCTTGCTACTTCCGTTCAGTTGCACTGAGCTCTGGGGGTTTGGGCGGGGCAGAAGGCGAACGCGCAAGCACCAGACTTGAACAGCAATCACAAAGTAGCAAGAGAAATATGCACGGGATTTCCGCATCAATGCTCAGAGTGGAGTGGAGCTCCGAAGCGCTCCGGTGGAGGCTGGAAGCAAGATCTGTGAATGCTCCCGCAGCGAGAAGGAACGAACATGGGGAGCCCTTTGGCCTCAGGCCAGGGCCGAGCACTCCCGGGCGTTGGGGGTTGCGGCGACTGGCCTCAGAAGGTCCACATGCGAGTGCCACGTCGATTGTGCGAGAGGTCACGGCTTAACACGGAGCGCTGCTTGCTGTGTACTTTCGGGGGGGAAAGCCGTGGTACCCGGGGCCGCGGCGGCGGTTCTATTGCCTACAACAGCCGTTCTTCATCGGCCATGTCTACCCTCTCCACTCCCCCCCTCTCTGGTATTGCCTCACGCGGAGCCCGCTGTGTACTTTCGCGGGNNACCCGGGGCCGCGGAGGAAGCTTCTGGGGGTCCCTTTGTCGCGTCCTGTCCTCACCTCTCCACTCCTCTCCAATCCTCAAGAACTCCACTGCACTCCCCTCCACTCCTCTCCACTCCTCTCCACTGCTTCTCTGCTCTCCTCTCCACTCCTCTCCACTCCTCTCCGTTCATTTCCCTTCCTCGCTTGTCCACTCTTCTCCACTCCCCCGCTCCCTGTACTCCAAAACCGGCTGAGTCCGAGAGGTGGCAGCAAGAAACAGTCCGACTTTGCCAGAAAATTTAAATGCTCACTCGTATCGGTAAGCTGCAAAAAGTCTACATTCCTCGGCCCCGGAGGCCTCGCTTCGGTCCAAAGCCCGCAAACGCCTGAAAAACCTTCAGTCCTTCTTGGGACCCGAGACGGGTCCCTTGAGGGTTTTGAGACGAGAGGCGCCACCCGAAAGCGAAGGACAACCAATCCGATCCTGCCAGGAGCTGCTGATGGGCCGCTGCTCTCAAATCCCGGCTGCGGCGTGGCGGCAGCTCGAGGGCGCCACGTGGTCGAAGCTCACGAAGGTGGACTTCACGTCGCGCCTCGGCTTTCGGGCACCTGTCGGAGTGTTCTTGGTCTCGTCGAGATGGTTGTTGGGGTGCGAGGGGAACCCAGCCATTTCACAGGAGCGGTCTAGCAGCCTAGCAAACCGTCGTGGTGTGCTGAGCTCAGAGCCGTGAAGCCTGTTCCTTCGCACTCGACGCTTCGTGCCGGCGCGTTGGGTTTGAGGCGGCCGGCAGCAAGCCATTTCAGTGGGAAGTTTCGATGTTCTCAGGGACAGATCGAGCCTTGGTAGTTGAGTTTGTGGACTGCAGACTTCGTGGGTTTATGTAAGGCGGTTAAGATGAATGGACTGTATTTCAAAGCATTTTGGCAAATGCGAACTCTCCACAGCAGAGTAGCAGAAGCACAGCACGGGTGTCAGCCCGAGGTGCTTCGGCGACGATTCCAAGGGCACCGAGGCCGCGGCTGGGCTTCTCGCCTTCCTCGGCCGCTGCCCCGAGCTGCAGGACGCGACCGCCCACCTTTGCACTTGACAGTCTGTGAAGTCTTGCAAGCTGCTCACAGTGGAATGGCTCCGGTGGAGGCTGGAAGCAAGGCTCCCCCAGCGAGAAGAAACGAACATGGGGAGCCCTTCGGCCTGAGGCCGCGGCCGTGCACTCCCGGACGTTGGGGTTGCGGCGGCTGGCCTCAGAAGGTCACCATGCGAGGGCCAGAAGCTCACCTCACGTCGATTCTGCGAAAGGTCACGGCCGTGTACTTTCGAGGGGAAGACGCGGTACCCGGGGCCGCGGTGGCGGTTCTATTGCCGAAGTCCTCTCCTCACTCTGCTGCTTTGATCTCCTCATTTCATTTCCTTTCCTCGCCTGTCCACTCTTCTCCACTCCCCCGCTCCCGGTTCTCCAAAACCGGCTGAGTGCCAGGGGTCTGCACTCAAGAACCAAAGAGTTAAGAGTGCCAAGGCCCAACACCCAAGAAACATAGAACAAAGAATATGCAATCATCGGTTGCAGAGCTTTAGGCTCGAGATCTGGCATGGTTGCGAGTCTGGGAGGTTTGGATCTTCGCACGCGGCAACCTGTCACCGTGAAGGTGTGCACCCTCGCCCATGCGAGGAAGGGAAATGTCCTCACACGCGGGCCAGGAACAACTCCTCGTCCCAAATACTGCATATCTCTTCCCAATCTCAGCTGCTTGCCGATGTCACCCGGCTCGAAGGCTCGAGGCCGCCGTCTGTCAGCTTCGCAAGTCCAGTTGGAGTCAGAGCCGAGAAAGCTTCCCTCCTCTCTGGTATTACCCCGACATAGGCGGAGGGAACACCACCTGACTGGCCAGGATCTGAGCATGCCCTGCTGCAATCAGATCCCTGTTGCGGCCTGGCAGCAGCTCGAAGGCGCCATGTGGCCGAAGCTCACGAAGGTGAACTTCGGGTCGCGCCTCGGCTTTTGGGCGCCTGTTGGAGTGTTCTGGGATCCTCTCATGGAGATGGTTTTGGGGGGTGTGAGGGAGGTGTGGGAACAGTGCGAGACTTTAAGGTGGCAGACCGCCAGGCCCAGCCATTTCACGGAAAGCTCGTGGTCTGAGACGATGTCTTCGATACAAGAAATTCTTTCGGCACGGATTTCTCACTCAGTGCCGGCCCAGGTGCTTCGACAAAGAGTCCAAGGGAGCTGAGGGCGCGGCGGGGCTTCTTGCGGCCCTCGCCCGCTGCCCCGAGCTGCAGGACGCGGTCGCATTGCACTTCCTAACTTCAGCTAGTTGCGGCTCGAAGGCTCGAAGCCGCCGTCCGCCACCTTCGCAAGTCCAGCTCGGGTCCTAGCCGGGAAAGCTTCCCCTCTTAATTGTATTTCCCGAAACAGGGCGGGGGAGCAACCAAGCCGGCCCGGGCGGCCAGGAGCTTCGGATGCGCTACTGCGATCAAATCCCGGCTTCGGCGTGGCAGCAGCTCGAGGGCGCTCATTGGCCGAAGCTCACGAAGGTGGACTTCGACGAGCGCCTCGGCTTGGGCGCCTGTTGGAGTGCTCGTGGATCCTCTCCAGATGGTTGTTGGGCTGCGAGGGGGATGTGGGAGCGGTCCGAAACTTCGAGGTGGCAGCCATCCAACCGTTTCAAAAAAACACCTGGTCTGAGGGATGCTCTAAGATACAAGTAGCAGAAGCGTCCGAAGCTCTTCGGCACGGACTTCTGATTCAGCTTCGGCCCAGGTGCTTCGACGAAAATTCCAAGGGCGCCGATGGCGTAGCCGGGCTCCTCACGGCCCTGGCCCGCTGCCCTGAGCTGGAGGACGCGAGCTCGTTGCGTTTGTAGTAACACTCAAGAGCCTCCGGGGGGAAAGGGTCGCCACTGCCATCACAAGGCTGGGGCGAAGCATGCCGACGGAGGCCTCCTAGCAGAGCAGGAAATTTACATGAACCCGTTACAGTCAAGATCATGTTGCTGCTGCTGCTGCTGCAGCTGCCTGCAGTTTGGCCAATAATGCTACAGCTGGCTGTAGCAATCTTATGAGTACTGCCCTGAGTCGAACCATCACTAGACTGTCACTCGGCCATAAGGTTGAAGGAAGGCAGCAACATGGCTCCTTGAACTCAAGCGCCCTGTCAGCCACAAGTACTGCTGCCCCGTGTGCGGCAGGCCCTCCTTCGGTACAACTAATCGGAACATCACCGGAGAATGGCGTCGCATCCGCTTCGACCAACAGCAGAGAACAGAAGCATCAACATGCAACAAGCTACAAAGAAGGTCAACAGAGTTCACAGCAAAAATGGGGCAATACGCGTTCGGCCCTTGGCCCTCCGACCCGCTTCCGAGATCCACCTGTCATGCCCATGCCAGGACCGGAGAATCGACGGCTTGTCAGACGAGCACTTGGAAGAGCTGCGCCGCCTGCGCCGAAGCTCATGATCGCGAGTTTTTGAATTCCCCGCCTCGGCGGGTTTGGCATTCGAGACAACTTCGAGATGCCAACTTGCGAGATGCTCCCCATCGAAAGATGACAAACCCCAAACCTTCGGCCCTCCGGAAAATCAGCAGCATCTTGAGCGGCTTGATTTGTTGCAGGGTTAAAGAACGTATACAGTATCCATTGCCTAAAATCCTCTATGCGAGTTTTGGCATGTCTACATGTGCGATAATTTCGATGGGCAGCCGCTCGCACTCACAGATCTGCTAGACATGTCGAAGGATCAGAGGTCGTGCTTCGCTTCGAAAGCCTATGTGCCTATGCCGGAAACCGGAAGTCCAAGCCGAACGAACCCTCAGCACTAGAGCAACGGACTCTAAGACCCCGAACCCCTGGGACCCCCAATTTTCAACGATCCGGCAACTTTAAACGATCCAAAGTCACGTCTAGAGTTCCAGACCTCGATCTGAGGCAAAAGCACCCTTAATGTGAAAGTAAAGCCGTTGGATTCAAGTGGCTGCGGTTGATGGGGTCATAAAACTCTTCAGGGCTTGGGCGGTCTGGCGGTTGACTTGAGGACTGCGGACGCACCGAGATCTGTGGGGATGCGATGGATTAGGAGACTGCTGCATCCTTCCACCCTGCAGGACCCTAGGCCCTAGACGCCGCCCAAACCCCTGAGCCCTAAAACCCAGTACTTCTAAACCCTTGCCTTCCCCTGATCTCGAAGCCCTAAACCCCCGAAAACCTGAGAAAGTCTTCGACCTCAAAAGGCTCAAGTCTGTATTGATGCCAAGCCTTAACTGGGACCCTGCGCAGACGGGCCTCGACCCTTGGAATCCAATTCGTGCAAGGACCGGCCAGTCTAAGCCTACGGCTGGAGAGCCAAAAGCACACACATACGGTTGAAGAAGGATCCGTTAGAGTGTAAAAGGCCCTGCCTTTGAACCTCCGTTGGTGAGATCTCTGTGTGGTTGTGTGTGGCCTTTTTGGCTCCTGAAGAAGCATTTTGCTTCTTTCTCGCTGCTTTACTTTACATCCCGTGCCGTTGGCCGCAACGTTCGGAATTCAGATTCTCAAGAAAGCATAGGAAGACTTCACTTCGCTGATTGTTCAGAAACCATGGTCTGTTGAATGCGGTTATGTGATCATCTTAAAGTTACAAGATCTCCACCACTCATCATTTCAAGCTGGTCCCCTTTCCTGCCTCTTCCGATATCGCTGTCATGATCTCTAATGGGAGGCCTCCACCAAAGCTCTTGTTGGCACAGCTCCGACTGCGCTACTGATGTTCTTGCTCTCCTGATTCTGACCGAAGGGCTTACAGCCACTCCCAGGGTCCCGGTATAGGTTTGGAGTAGGTGAGTGTCGGGCGTTTGGCCCCGCTGGGTGTAGCGTGTTCGGGTTTATGTAGACTTTGAAACCCCAATCCTTCGTTTGCTCATTGTGCGGGCAAGCATACACGGCACGGGAAGAAACGTGTACGACCGTTTCTGATGCTGGCCGCTGTCAATGGTCACATGTAGCCAGCAGTGTCACGCAGTCACCAGGCCCATGCCGAATCAGTGGCGCAGGGCATCCCATCCCAAGTCAATAGCGAAATCGGCTTTTGGCAGAGTGAGAAATGGAGTCCCATGCACCTCGCCAAGCATTGACAGTGCGCAATGCAATGCATGTCCCCAAGCATGTTTCCTGAAAAGCATTGACGCGGTGGATGGAGCTGGGCATGAGAAGAGTCCTTTCCATCCGACGAGGCTTCGGCGTGACGTTCTGGGCAGCACCGGGCTCAGCCTAGAGAAGAATCTGCAGGAAGACAATCACTCACAGTTCACATCGTCTCCACAGAACCCTCCACAGGGGGAGGCCAAGCTGCAGATGTGTGTGTGCCAAAGCAGAAGGTCTCTGACCAGCCATCTTGCATGCTGGAAGCTTGTAGGCTATGGAGCACATTGAGGGCTCGTAAGTTCGAAAACTGGACCGTGGGTATGCGGGAGTCATGTGCAATGCCTTCCAACGAAAGCCAGCGATCTGCTCCGAAATCCCCGTAGGACCGTCTCAAACCGAAGAAACACAAACCCCAAAAAACCGCAGACCTAATTAAGAACCCCGAAACCGAAAACCAAGAAAAGCTGTACCCACTCAGACCCAAGACACCAAAACCCTCAAAAAGAAGAGAAGCCTACAGCCCACCCAACTCCCAAAGCTGAACGCCGAGGAACAACACCGGGGCGGCGCTCGGCCAAGCTCAGGCAGATCCTTCAGCTTTAGGTGGGCTTGGTCTTGGGGGTTTGGTTCAGGCCCCTTTCGCTTTCTTTGCAATCGGCCTTAAAAGGGGGGATTGTTTTGGGACCTTGCAGAGTTTTCGAATTTGAGGGATTCGGCATTCGAGGGCTTTCGTCGTCTTGACGGGCTTCGGATTCGATACAGTTAGTAGGCTTCGTGCTCTTTTGGACCTCCCCATCCTCACGACCTTCGTTCGGGAAAGCAGGTTATCGCCACGGCAGCGCCTTGTGGCGCTTCGGAGGCTTCGGGGTCCGACGTGACCTCTCGGCACGAGCTCCGGCCAGCAGGGGGCCTTTGCGATCTGAAGCGCAGCCTCTGAGACTCCGAGCCTGCAGAAATTGGGGCCCTATGCATGGGCTCCGCCTCCTCGGCGATCCCCGGCACGCCCGTCTGGAAGGCCTTCAAGTTCTGGAAAACGTTGAAAAGCTTTTGGACCTCGCTTGCAAGAGGTGAGGAGACAGTGCCGTCAACGTCCAAGTGCGTTCAGCTTGGAAGGCCTTGTGCAAGGCTCGATCCTCTGACTGTCTGCTCGGAGCAAAGTCCCTGCCCCGAAAAAGTGAGTCTAGTAGTGTAGAGCACAGCCACAAGCGACCGTCGTCGGCGTTTTCGCCTCATCTTCGTCCTCGCTACCTGCAGCATCAGCATCACCCTTATCGTCCTCATCTCATCCTGAATTTTAGGGATGCTTATAAGGTGTCAGGACAAGTATCCTTTGGAGCCCTCATCCTCATCCCCTGAGCTAAGCCCACCACCCGAAGCCCAAACTCCCATATACCGAAGCCCTCAACTTCAAACACGTCGTCGTAGCATATCGGGAGCCGAAGCCCCAAACGAAAAATGCCAAACCTGGAGCCCCCGAAGCCCCAAGCCTCACAGCGTGGGTCGGCAAGCATAACCTCAAAGGGAGCCCCTGAAAGGGAGCCCCTGAAACCCAAAGAAATGTCGCCCCCCCAAAACCCCAAAGCGTCGGACGTCCCTNNCTTTCGCGTCCCGATCTGCGCGAGGCGATCGTTGACCGGAAGGTCGGCGAAGGCGGGGAGCCTTCTGTGGGCCATTTGAGACAAAAAGCGGGGCCTGAACGGGCCTTCTTAAACTGAACAGGGTTTTTCTTTTCTGGTTGAAAGTGTTCTGGTGGTCTGTGATAGGGCTTTGGGACTTCGGGTCTAGGGTGGAGTTGAGGTTAGGGGAAGCAGGTTTCAGATTAAAAAGCAGCGCCCTAGCTGCAGCAAAGCACGCGTGCATTCTTAGCACTCGAGATTTAGATTGCAAGGGAATTCCGAAGCCGCGAGTACCTGAATCCTCTGCCGCAAGCGTCCACAGCCGGATGCCATCTCGTCAGCGCTGTATCCCTGTTTTGCTCTCCCCCCTCTGGACCCACAATCTCCTGCACGTCCGAACCTCTAAAGAGACGTAGACTTTGGGGACTTCGTTGTCAGAGGCTCTCGGCCTCGGTGCTCCCGGCCGCAGGGCTTGGCAAGAATGTAAACAGGGGTCCTTTTTTAGGGTAAAGTCCTGCCTGCGCCGGTCTGGCGCAAAAAAACCCAAAGCTCCGAGCCCCATCCGAAATCGGAGCACGAAAGCCCTCCGACACCCCAGAAACCCGGCGCAAGACGCCCCGGCCAATTTCCACAGACGCGACCTCGAACGCTCCAGGCTCTGCGAGCTGACGGAAGAAGCTTGATTCTCAAGGCGTTCCCGGATGTCGTGGTCGGGGTTATAGGCTTAGGCTTTCGGAAACAGGATTTAGAATTTAGGGTGTTCGTGTTTATAGGAGCTTTGGGGTTTTGCCATGTCGAAGGCATCTCAGCCAGAGGCGGAGGCTTCATGTGGGTTGGGCCAGAACACCATCGAAATGCCAAACCTAAGATTTGAAAAGATAATCTTTTTGGGAAGCCACATGCTGACCCAAAGCAGCAAGTAGACCCGCGACTCTGAAAAGCTACCCTTGCGCTACTCTGCGAGAGCTTCCCCAGAATCCCTCAGCGTGCCCTGCAAACCTTCCCTGCAAGCCGAAGCGTGCTCTTAACATTCAATAGAAGCAGTGCAGCCGTTGCTGTATGTACGCTCAGCAAAAATGCCGGTTGGGAGAGCAATCGTCAGCCCACGAGTAATGTCCGTATTGGCC